CAGACGTTAATGCGATCGCCATTTGCTCATATTTATTTATTGCATACTCGGACATTAATATTTGATTATACTTTTAATGCTGTACCATGCCAGAGTTGATAAACCGCTATGTGCAGAGGGAAATTTCCAATCAAACATGAGTTTAATACCCATCATCATTAATATCTTTGGCCCCCATCAGACTTATGATTGAGTTGTTAAATTGGGCAGTAAATTAGCTGGAGCTAAAAAAGATTCTTGTTAGGGTGAACATTGTCGTTGAACTTGTTATTCTTTATTGAAACTTCTAAGAGATGGTCCTGCACTTATAGGGCCTGCACTTTTATTCCATCTCTGAAGAAATTCAGACATAAATTCCGACCAGCTGCGCTCGAGGAGGACACAAGCACAAGTCCCTCTTCAGCCCATACCCAAAACCCATAACAGACCATTACACTGCGAAAGCTGTTTGCCGTCCGCATTGCGGTTCCCAGACCTGTTTGTACAATTGCATTATACACTAGATAATATTTATTACATTTTTGTTTACCTCCGCCACACAGGTGTGAAGTTTAATAAATTTTAATGCCGCCTTTTGCCTACTGTGCGGGATTTATTCGCTCTTTAAGAATTTATGCGGCCATAATAATTTACTACAATAGAAAGTATTTGAACAAAAGCTTTTCAGATAAGATGTTATCATTGTGGCAGCTTCAAAGCCTTATCTGCTTAGCCCTCAATAGCCTGGAAATTGATCCACTTGGACTCTATCCATTGCCGTCGACAACGTGGCGTATGTGCAACGTCATGCATCCTGCTGTTTGCTGTTTGCCACACATCTATACACTTATTAAAATATTTCCAGGCTGCTATTGCACCACATATTCTCCACCTAATGATGTAGAAATGTAAAACAGCTGTGTCCGTGATCCCCAAGTCAAACGGTTTCCAACCCATTTCCCATCTCATGTGGAGTCCAGTAGTGAGAAATTGCCTAGGGATTTTGTTATTCTGCGTGACGAAAGAGTAATTTTTTACATCTCAAACGTGATTGGAAATCGAAAACTGTATAATATGTATCCATGCTGACATAAAACTATCATTGCCTGACCAGGGATATACATAGAGACCCGGCCAAAGGCTACCCTGAAGAGATGCTCAAAGCATCCTCTAACAGCATGGATAATATTTCAATTGTTTTCATTCATGGAAATGAAAAGCAACCAATGTAACAATATACGTAAAGTTTTCCCCTATAGATACATATATATTTATTTATATTTACTGTTTAAGACATCCTTTGACGCCGTTGCTCAATTTTCAATTATTTTGTCTGCGCGGATTTCTCCGACGCATTTCTCTGGCTGCGCTACCACAATCCAGATTGATTGTAAAGATTTTTTGGCATTGCTTTTGCACCTCCTGGCAGTATGCGAAAATTGCAACTCGCTCACGTGAAATCCCTCTCCCGGTAGGGCAGCATCTCCTGTCAAAACTTGTGCAGTCATGCAAGGAATTTCACTGAAAGTGGAAGCGCCTTTCTCCAGAAAGCAGCTGAGTACCAAAACTTTTCACTGGAACTTTCGTGCACAGCAGGGTTGCCGAAGTCTCAGACCGGAAGCTTCTTCAAGTACTGCATCCCGCTGTTTATCTGCCAATAAATTTCGAAAAAAGGTCTTCCATACCTGTGCTCAACAACTAATAAAAAATTTGAATTTAACTTATTATAAGGTAGACGAAACGACCTTTTTGGGCATTTTAAAGCGTACCGCTGCTACTGCAGAAAGTCCCCCATGTAAATTATAGCCAATAATGCGAGAACAAGGAAACATTCAGGACTGTGATTGATTTCCGCCCTGCTCGTTGAGCTTTTGAAAGGAAAGCAAAAATAATGCCAATATATGCGTTCACTTTGGCAAATCAAATTACAACAAATGGGCTTAAGTCTATACACATATAAAAGAAAAATGGAATCCCATATGTGTATGCTAGATTTCGTATTCTCTGACAAATTTGACAACAAATAGATGAAGGTAAGTAAAAGCTTAAGGCATCTTCTGTGTTGCAGACATCTGCTTCCAAACGCTGTCTGTCTATAAGTATGATCAATCTGTTTGCTCTTTATGTATTTTAATAATTCAATGAATTTTTCAAGCCTACTAAAATACCGAATAAACCTTCCTTATTTGCTCCCCTATTCAACTGGCGTGAACTTTCGTGGCCTGAATAATTATTTAAATTATCATTTTCCATTTTTCTCCTCCCGTCAGCTGCAACTCTTTGGATTAGTGTTTCTCCGCGTTCATTAACCAAATGAACGTCTTATACCAGCTGCTGCGTGGATATAATAAATTAGAAAACTTCATTATGTCCATCTTCCCGGAAAATTTTTTCTGCCCTTGCCCTTTAAGCGCGGACAGAGTCTTCAAATAAAATGACGCCTCATGGACCGGAAAGAATGAATAATGAATGCATTCCAAGTGAAGCTCAAATAGAACACTATCTGAATGGATGCGTCCTGGACGGGCACTGGGATGGCGAATGGAGGCCAAAGTAAATGAGTGAACAGTTGACTGATTCCATAGTAGATGAAACACGTAGCACATAGGCCGTGGCCTTTTTAAATCGCATTCAGAAACTGTTGATGCAAAAAATGAGATAATCCAGTAAGATGGACCAATTTAAGAGGTACTATTAAAGGGGCCACAATATTATCTGAAGGGGTTAAGAAGTTTTAAGTTCTAATAGAATTTACCACCAGCCTAACAACGCCCACCACGTTAGGTTGCCAAAAGTGTTTGACATCTTTTTGCACTCCTCCTAAAGTGCTCATACGCAGTGTGGGCCAATAAGTGGGGCGCCTCCTCACATTTCTGACACTTTCATTAGCGACGACTCGATTCTGGCAAGTTAGAAAATCTCCAGCGGGGGACCAAAGGGGTTCTGGCAAATTTTCCCCAGTCATTGTAGGTAGAGAATGGCATGGATTACTAGAGATGTGCATCCGTCCTGAATTTTTCACTTAATACAGAAAATATAAAATCTCAATTCGCTGGCATGAAATGTACCAATCCTAACTCGGCGGCAGTTGGTTCCAGGCTTCTGGTCTGTGCAATTAATGCATCTCAGCTCACAGAAGGACGCTACCTCAACATGTCCGTGTCAATGCTTCGGGCCCTGGGATAAATCTCTTCGCACGTTCTATCTAGACAGGACCGACTCCATCAGCGACTGCACAGCACCGTACCAGAGTACCCATCCACGAGCAAAAGTTAAAAACTTTGCAGCAACAGTTCCATGCGTTCCATTAGCATGCAAATTTGAAAATTTATCAGGTGGTGGTCAGCGGTCTCACCGAGGGTCCCAGTTCTAGTCCAGGTCCTCGTCCTGGTTCTATTTTGCGGCAGTACCGCAGCTGGTAAAAGCTTTACTGACTGCCAGAGCTCGCATGACGAAGTTTTTCGCACAAATTATACACAGATAGGAATCGAGGAGAGCTGGCAAAATCTCCAGAAGGAGATGTTAGCAACTGCCTTGGTTGGACGGGTTGGTAACGGCACCATATGCTCTGGGAATACAATATATTTATCGCCATGACCTCAAAAATATGTTAAAGTGTAAAGTCGTCCATGGCACATGGCTCTGTAAATAGTTGACTTCTTTTGGTAGGGGATATATGAGAAATTCACAATTAAAATTGTACAAATGGGGTTGGCTTCCTCCTTACTTTGAAACCATTTTATTAGCTCTACTTTCCACAAACAAACTCAGTTAGTCCTTCTCCCTGAAGAGTCCACAGGCGAACAGCACCGAAACCAAAGAAATATTTCCTTGGCCAATCTTGGCCAAAAGAGTCGAACAAACCAAACCAAACAAAACCAAAACCAAAACCCAGAAAGCGGTTGGGTTTTTGCTTTTTTGGCAGAGATTTCTCTGGTCTGGGATTTGTTGGTGTTTCTTTTGCTTTTCAGGTTTGTTCGCAGTCTGGTGTGGCATTTCCAGTTGGAAAATTTCAAAGAAAATTACAGTTTGGTTATTTTCTGTCGAAATGAAATAGCTGCAAGGCAATTATTGTTTGACTGCCAATGAAAAAAAGTACATTGAACCCTTCAATCAATTGAATATTTCCAGGAGCTAATCTGTCAGATCAAATCCTTATAGCCAATTATTTATCATTGTTCGCTTTTTGCACTGCCACGAGCTATTTGAGGTGAACAAATCGAATTAATTATCGCCTTATCAGATATATCCGATGAACACGTGAGCCGCATGGAAATCGGTAACAGAAAAACAACCAATTGACCTTATTGACCTCCATATTTTAATTTAAAATTATCACAGTTCAATTATGGAGTTAATATATTAACTATCAGCAACCAACTTTTTCTCCATCTTTTTCGTCTCTTCTCTCATGGGCGTCACACGTGACGTATGCGCATTTCGGATACAGGTAGCAATTTCATGTCTTGGCACGCTGCTGCGAACAATGTCTTGTTGTTCTTCGAACTGGGGTGTGTACTTTCATCCGTCCACTGCAATCTGCAGAACCAACCTAACATATCCAGAGTCTGTACAGCGCAGACCTGCTCTGTCTGTTGCAGTTCCCCACGGATGGCAACGGATGGTGGATTTCCTGGCCAGTCATCAGCCTCCGTGCGGATCTACAGTACCCAGCAGGCACAACAGTGTACGTACGCGCAATCACTACCACGGCCAGAACTGTGTACCGCAGTCTAGGGGCCAACCGAGTCCGAAAAGATCTTCACATGGATACTGAAATGGTTTAAAGATGCTTCTGGACTGACTCCACCGCTGACCGCGATCCTGAGTAAACGCAACGGCATCGACCGGCATACCATACCAATGCCCACTACTTTACTTAACCTGGTCCATTCGCTGTCAGCCGGCCAAAAACTCCATTGCCGGTTACCTTGGGGGAGAAATGTGGCAGGAGATGTGCCCAAGACCTGTCCCTCTCTAAAGGATAAACATTGTTACAAAACAATTGATTTTTTCGGGCGAGCTCTTTTTGTACCAGGCAGACCTTTATTCAGAACTAAAACATTTTAGACCCATAAATGGCAGAGGCATGACATTTCCAAATACAAGAAACAAGAAACAAAAAAATAATCAGTGGGTGGGATTAAATCAGGATCTAGATCCAAAAGCGAACATGGATCTAGATCCATATATTTGGTTTTGGATCTAGATCTTAATTCGGTTTGGAATCTAGACCCACTTCAGTCACGTACTGATTCTGAAGAAGTACTGTCGCCGCGAATCCAGCCTCGATCCCTGCCAGGAAAAAGCACTAGATGATTTGTGGCTTTGTTCCTCTTTCCTTTATCTTGACTTTGAGCTCCTCTCGCATCTCGTCGCGTAGCTTGGGAATCAGCTCCATATGGATAGATCCAAAACCGAATATGGATCTAGCTGATACCCGAGTTGCGCCACGAAATACGAGACCAGCTCAAAGGAGAGAAAGGAATGAGGCTCAAAGCCGCAGATCATCTTTTGCTTTTCCGTGACTGCGATCGTGATTGGACTCGCAGCAAAAGTACTCATGCAGAATGAATACGTGACGGAAGGGCGCAAAGATCCACTAAATGGCTGAGAAACATATTTTGGAATAAAAAATAAATGATCAAGAATGAAGAATAATGGCGTTCTGAACGCCCGACGACTGATTGCCCGGATCGGATCATGGATGGATCCTCGGCAAACAGTTACGACAGCGCCGCGGCGCTTGGCGGAGACCCAAGGCTCTGAAAAAATAATCATGAGCTTAGACTTGAACGGGGACCTTGTCTAGCGCTGACTTACGAGTGAAGCATTTGAATGCTGGTGTTATTCTGCTCCATCTTGGTGAGGCAGGCTGATGTTGCGCAAAGGCGAGGCACAGATATTGCTGACGATTTACCTCGTTCTCGTTCTTCAGGGTCTTTCTGTCCAGATTCTGCAACTGAAGCTCAACTCGCTTCATCTCCTTGACCAGAGCCTTCTGCTCCGGACTGTCCGGCAATATTTCCGCCTTCAGCTGGGTGTCCTTCTCCTTCTAGAGCGACCCTACAGCTCGATTTGGTGGCTCCTGTGCCGCCCGCACGACCGGCGATCGGCATCATCAAGATTGGGCATCTGCTTTGGCTGCTGGCCAGCGGTGGTGGCGTCGCCGAACGACAGCGCATTAGGGGTGCTAAAGGCCCCACAGCAGGCGCTTGATCCTTGTTATCAAAGTCAACCGCAAACGACTTTAGCTCTTCCTCCTTCACGGGCTGGCCTTCTGGGCTTCTGTCTGGCCGTCTGGACCGGCTCCAGCTTTAGAGGGAAAATTGCTGCAGCCGGCGGAGCCTGATCGGAAAACGATTTTCAATTACAAATAAACTCAAATATCAATTAATTGTTCCAGCACTTGCCGTAGAATGTTGCGGCGCTTATTGTATATTATTTTCCGTTTAGTTGCTTGAATTTTGTGGACGGTTCCGTCGCGAGTGACTTGCAATTTTGGGAGTAGCTCCCCGCTGCCCGACGGCTCTATCGATGCCTTTGCGGCCACGGACTCGAGACTCTATTTGATCGCCTTGGTGGGCCCCCAAGGGGCCCTCTTCCTTTGGGGAGTCCACACAACAAAGTTCTCGGGCGTGTCTTTATGCGAAATGGTGCAAACGATACGAACTCTAAATTTTTTAAGGGGCAAGCCGAGGACTGGTTGCAGCTTTTCACAATCGATATTGACACAGTTTTTGCCTATCGATGTTTAAGATTTTAAGATTCTCCAGAGCTCGAAAATAGATCAAACTATTCAAAATTGATATTTTTGGCAATGCTATTGTACGTTTACATATAACGAAAAATATTTCGGCCTGTGTATTTTTCCAAAAAATATATACATATCTTGTAGGGCAACACATATTAACCCTAACCTACAGTATGTTAGTTAGTTATGGTTAGTGCCCTAACCAACCCCATATTAGCCCTTACCGATATTAACCCTAACCGATCCCGATATTATTCTGCGATAAGTTTTATGCGATATTATTCTGCGATAAGTTTTATGCGATATTATTCTGCGATATGATACTGCGATAAGTCTGAGGATAATTTTGACGATCGACAAGAAGAGAGAAAAGACCTGAAATAAATAAGTTAATAAAAAATAAACGAAGAACAGCGCCACAATCTGACCGATACGATATTTTTTACAGATCTGACAAAACTATTATAAAGTCACAACCAATCGATAGAAGATTACAACAAATCCGGCTGTTAGTCCGCCTCTGAAATCCGCCATTTAAATTTTTTGTTGTATGACGTCATGAGGTGGACAAACAACTGACGAATGCTAATCTTATTACAAGATGAGAAGTCAGCAAAGCGTGGACCTCTTAAAGCATGACCAGGAAACAGTAAAGCACTTTTCACTCATAAAACTAGCACAGCTCTCGCTGTCGTTCAATTGTACAAAAGAGATAATAAAATACGATACAAAATACTTTGACCACGGGCCAAAATCTACTCTAGCCTCTGTCATTTATTCATTTTATGTGGCACCAAAGTAAAGCTAAACAATTTGCTTGGCTACAGCGATAAAGTTTAAACAATCGACAGCCCCAAGTTCAGGGATCCACCAAGATCAAGCTCAAGATCAAGATCAAGATGAAGCGACGACAGAGGTAAAATTTGTATACAACAAGGGGGTCGCATCTACAGGTACGGAATTTACATATACCCGATACTCAGTAAGTATGGCTCATCTCAGCCAGAGACAGAAAGATAGAAAATGATCAGTGCGATAACACAGGAGTAGGGATTCTTTATTCTAGCTCTTTTAGCTCTGAGAACAAGGCGTCAAACCAGACGGACAGAAATGGCTCTATCGACTCGACTGTTAATGCTGATCAAGAATATATATTCCTTATGGAGTCGGAAACGTTTCCTTCTGGGCGTTGCACACATCTATTTAATAGACCCATTTACTCTTTTTGAGGACGAAAATACACTCTTAGTTTGTGGCTTGTAACTGGCTTTTTATACCCGATACTCAAAATGAGTATTGGGGTATATTAGATTTTTGGTAAAAGTGGATGTGTGTAACGTCCAGAAGGAATCGTTTCCGACCCCATAAAGTATATATATACTTGATCAGCATCAATAGCCGAGTCGATTAAGCCATGTCTGTCTGTCCGTCTGTCCGTCTGTCCGTCCGTCCGTCTGTCCGTCTGTCCGTCCGTCCGTCTGTCCGTCCCCTTCAGCGCCTAGTGCTGAAAGACTATAAGAGCTAGAGGAACGATGTTTTGGATCCAGACTTCTGTGATATGTCACTGCTACAGGAATATTTCAAAACTGTGCCCCGCCCACTTCCGCCCCCACAAAAGGCGAAAATCTGTGGCATACACAATTTCGAGGATACGAGAAAACTAAAAACGCAGAATCGTAGAAGATGACTATATCTTACAGAGTGCAAAATCTGAAGCAGATCGTATTATTATTATAGCCAGAATCACGAAAACAATTTCACTCTTTCTCGCTCTGTCTCACTCTAACACACAGGTTTCATGGTCGGTTTTGCCAATTGCAAAATATGAGTTCAAGGATCTCAGAACCTATAAGAGCCAGAGCAACCAAATTTGGTATCCACACTCCTGTGATATCGGACCTTGACCGTTTCGTGTCAAAATTTCGCCGCACCCCCTTCCGCCCCCGCAAAGGACGAAAATCTGGGGCAACCACAAATCTCAGAAACTATTATGACTAGAGTAACCAAATTTGGTATCCGCACTCCTGTTAGATCTCACTATAAAACGTATATCTCAAAATTTCGCCCCACCCCCTTCCGCCCCCACAAAGGAGGAAAATCTGTTGCATCCACAATATTGCAGATTTGAGAAAACTAAAAATGCAGAATCATAGATAATGACCATATCTATCAGATTGCTCAATTTGAATCAGATCGGATCATTTTTGTAGCCAAAAGCAAGAAATCAATTTTCAGTGGCTACGCAGCGCCCGACGTCACGCTCAGACTGATTTTCTGTCTCTCTCGCACGCACTCTTTGTCGTGTCGTTTAATATTAGCGGCGTCTGCCGGAGGAGAGCCATACTGACTAAGTATCGGGTATAACTGTAGAGTTGCGGTGTCCGCAGCAACTCACAGCGTTCCCCCTCGTTTTTTGTCACATTCTGGTCCCATTGGGATATGATAGCGAAGCCGTGTAATTGAGTGATGGAAATTCGTTGGAAGGGTCGCACTCTAGAAGATTTATTTGGCAAATGGTATTTTGCTCACTGGCACGGAAAGACAACGGCTTTCATCGCAAATACCACAAATGTTTAAAGGATGAGTAAACAATGATACTTCAGATACTTCAGCCTCTGGAGCAGGCAAAGCAACATACCTGGACCTGACCATAAATATCTAGAAGAGAGGCCGTTACCAGAAGAGCACCATTTCTAAAAAAAATCGGATTTCAAACCATTTCAATTTAATTACTTATTCCATAAAAAATATTCAAGTGATAAACTTTATTGTTTGCACATTTTATTGGCCCTTCGACATGAATCTTTTATTGTTTTGGTACGACAAATGTTTTGTGTCGGGACCCCTAATTTAATTAAAAATCCATTATCCATCCAAGCTACTTTATCAATATATATATATATGTATGTGCCAAAAGGAGGGAAACCGCAAGACTAATCAAAATGGAATTTTTTGGCATCCATTATGCGAAATATTTAACTACTGCGATTCAGGATTTCCATATTTACCCAGGACGGGGTATACTTCTCGTTCTTCCACACTGTGTGGGACTCTAGGCAAAACGTTCAAAAATAAATAGGGAAATATATATAGAGAATCAGAATTAGAAGCCACATAGAATCATGCCTTGTTCCAGGACATTCCTCCAACCCGACAGCTGCATTGACAGCTCGTTGAAAGCTCGTCTGACAATTGTTTTATTTCGTTAGAAACTGAGGGCATTGACCGACATGGGGTGCTGTTGAGCAGACTAAAATCTGTTGCATATTCGAACCTAAATTATATATTCAGTTTTTAGTAACTCCCAGGAAGCAATTTCATGTCTTGTCTGCGCACAATGCCTTGTTGGTCTTCGAACTGGGGTGTGTACTTCCATCCGTCCACTGCAATCTGCAGAACCAACCAAACATATCCAGAGTCTGTACAGCGCAGACCTGCTCTGTCTGCTGCAGTTCCCCACGGATGGCAACGGATGGTGGATTTCCTGGCCAGTCATCAGCCTCAGTGCGGATCTACAGTACCCAGCAGGCACAACAGTGTACGTACGCGCGATCACTACCACGACCAGAACTGTGTACTGCAGTCTAGGGGCCAACCGAGTCCGAAAAGATCTTCACATGGATACTGAAATGGTTTAAAGATGCTTCTGGACTGACTCCACCGCTGACCGCGATCCTGAGTAAACAAAACGGCATCGACATACCATACCAATGCCCACTACTTTACTTAACCTGGTCCATTCGCTGTCAGCCGGCCAAAAACTCCATTGCCGGTTACCTTGGGGGAGAAATGTGGCAGGAGATGTGCCCAAGACCTGTCCCTCTCTAAAGGATAAACATTGTTACAAAACAATTGATTTTTTCGGGCGAGCTCTTTTTGTACCAGGCAGACCTTTATTCAGAACTAAAACATTTTAGACCCATAAATGGCAGAGGCATGACATTTCCAAATACAAGAAACAAGAAACAAAAAAATAATCAGTGGGTGGGATTAAATCAGGATCTAGATCCAAAAGCGAACATGGATCTAGATCCATATATTTGGTTTTGGATCTAGATCTTAATTCGGTTTGGAATCTAGACCCACTTCAGTCACGTACTGATTCTGAAGAAGTACTGTCGCCGCGAATCCAGCCTCGATCCCTGCCAGGAAAAAGCACTAGATGATTTGTGGCTTTGTTCCTCTTTCCTTTATCTTGAATTTGAGCTCCTCTCGCATCTCGTCGCGTAGCTTGGGAATCAGCTCCATATGGATAGATCCAGAACCGAATATGGATCTAGCTGATACCCGAGTTGCGCCACGAAATACGAGACCAGCTCAAAGGAGAGAAAGGAATGAGGCTCAAAGCCGCAGATCATCTTTTGCTTTTCCGTGACTGCGATCGTGATTGGACTCGCAGCAAAAGTACTCATGCAGAATGAATACGTGACGGAAGGGCGCAAAGATCCACTAAATGGCTGAGAAACATATTTTGGAATAAAAAATAAATGATCAAGAATGAAGAATAATGGCGTTCTGAACGCCCGACGACTGATTGCCCGGATCGGATCATGGATGGATCCTCGGCAAACAGTTACGACAGCGCCGCGGCGCTTGGCGGAGACCCAAGGCTCTGAAAAAATAATCATGAGCTTAGACTTGAACGGGGACCTTGTCTAGCGCTGACTTACGAGTGAAGCATTTGAATGTTGATGTTATTCTGCTCCATCTTGGTGAGACAGGTTGATGTTGCGCAACATTCTCGTTCTTGTTCTTCAGGGTCTTTCTGTCCAGATTCTGCAACTGAAGCTCAACTCGCTTCATCTCCTTGACCAGAGTCATCTGCTCCGGACTGTCCGGCAATATTTCCGCCTTCAGCTGGGTGTCCATCTCCTTCTAGAGCGACCCTACAGCTCGATTTGGTGGCTCCTGTGCCGCCCGCACGACTGGCGATCGGCATCCTCAAGATTGGGCATCTGCTTTGGCTGCTGGCCAGCGGTGGTGGCGTCGCCGAACGACACCGCATTAGGGGTGCTAAAGGCCCCACAGCTGGCGCTTCATCCTTGTTATCAAAGTCAACCGCAAACGACTTTAGCTCTTCCTCCTTCACGGGCGGCATCTGTCTGGCCGTCTGGGCAGGCTCCAGCTTTAAAGGGAAAATTTCTGCAGCCGACGGAGCCTGATCGGAAAACGATTTTCTATTACAAATAAACTCAAATATCTATTAATTGTTCCAGCACTTGCCGTAGAATGTTGCGGCGCTTATTGTATAGTATTTTCCGTTTAATTTCTTGAATTTTGTGGACGGTTCCGTCGCGAGTGACTTGCAATTTTGGAAGCAGCTCCCCGCTGCCCGACGGCTCTATCGATGCCTTTGCGGCCACGGACTCGAGACTCAATTTGATCGCCTTGGGGGGCCCCCAAGGGGCCCTCTTCCTTTGGGGAGTCCACACAAAAAAGTTCTCGGTCGTGTCTATATGCGAAATGGTGCAAACGATACGAACTCTAAATTTTTCAAGGGCCAAGACAGATAGCCGAGGACTGGTTGCAGCTTTTCACAATCGATATTGACACAGTTTTTGCCTATCGATGTTTAATATTTTAAGATTCTCCAGAGCTCGAAAATAGATCAAACTATTCAAAATTGATATTTTTGGCAATGCTATTGTACGTTTACATATAACGAAAAATATTTCGGCCTGTGTATTTTTCCAAAAAATATATATCTGACCGATACGATATTTTGTACAGATCTAACAAAACTATTATGAAGTCACAACCAATCGATTGAAGGATTTTACAAAATCCAGCTGTTAGGCCGCCTCTGACATCCGCCATTTAAATTTTTTGTTGCATGACGTCATGAGGTGACTCTGCAAAAACCTTGAGTTTTTGTATGTATGAGAATTTCTCGAATTTTCTATGACAAAAAACTCCAAAATTGAATAGAAATTCAATTAGGGGAGAGCAATTACATATTTTATTCGCTTTAACAGAACAATTATTTAAAAGGCTTTCTCAATTAGTTTTAGGAAATCTTTGCCAAAATTACCGAAAAATAAGATGGCACCAACGGCGACACATGCGGCCGAAAACATAAACATGGTAGAGCGCTGGCGTAGCAGAACTTTCTTGGCGTTCTGCCCCTTCTCAGCAGAATCGCGTAGATCCTGGATTTGCTGAGACAACTCCAGACGCACCTTCTCAAGATTTGAAACCTTTTCCTGTAGAATTTGCATGTCCACCAGAGTGCTGACCTCCAGGGCGTCGTACGTGCGCTCAACCTCTTCATTGGGCTCTCCACCAACAGTCTGGCGGATCGACTCGTCCGAAATGATGTCCCCGAAGCCGTTGTTATTCTCCGGCATCGGAAGCACCAACTCACAGCGGACCCTGCCTTCCCATGCGTTGGCCGGGTCCAGATCCTTGAAGAAGTTCTGCAAATCCACTACGGGCTCAGGAGCTTCGCCAACCACAATGAGGAATTTGTGACGCTTCCCAAACGGGTCCGGAGACAGGGGCAGTGTCGGAGGCATGAAAATTTCGATGCTGACCGACGACTTGGCACCAATTATCCCGATGTTAGGGCGAACGTAGAACAGACGTGGCGAGGTTGTCTTCAGCTTGTACGCCATATCCTTATTGACGAGACTGCGAATAACCAGACTGCGCTTGATGGCCCTGTTGAATGGCCCTTCGAAAGTCAGCGCATCAGCTGGCTCGCAGATCATTATGTTCTCTATATTCTTTGCCATTTTTTCAGTTCGGTTTACGGAATTTTTGTCCTTTTCTGTAGGTTTGGTTCACGAAAAAATGTGCTCGAAAAAACTTTCTGAGATGAAATGGCGAAAAGAAAGTGAAGGCGATGTAGTAAGCTTGAGATGTCATCGATGTCATCGATGTTTTTCTGCATCATCGATGTTTTTTCCCCACTATCGATGTTTTTAGATTACTTGATTTACTCTACAAGCGTCTTATTGGATGTTTTTACTTATATACCTACTGTATTTAAATAAATACATGGATAAGTAAACTATAAAAACGTCAGATATATATTGTAACCCATTAAGGGCCATGGCAGTTCATAGAGGTATACAAATTGGGGCTGCGCGAATATCTGAGATGTATTTTAGATACCAAAATACATTTTTTGGAAACATTTTACGCGGTTTGTAACAAGCAATTTGTAGTATATTTATCGATGTTTACAGTCAAACGGCTTACAACACTGAACTCAACAACACAGCTGAGTAGAGTGGCCAAGCCTGCTGATATTCTTCGTTTCGTTTTGTATTCACTTTCGCGTTAAATTCGTTGAGTGATTGCTCTGGATTTTGCGAGAACTGTTTCATCACGGTATACACACGGACCTCAATCCCTTGATGGCGGAATACAATGGCAACAGTTGAGATCGTAGGAAATTCGTTGCTCCAAAGCCGTGCCCTCGGCCTACATTCAGGTGCAAGATTTCAAAGAACAAGTGAGTTGTAAGGTGCTGACCTCGGCATGACACAGAGATCTGAATGTTCTCCTTGCAGGTCCTTGCAGGTCCTTGCTAAAAGTCACATAGTCAATGTGTCCTACATAAGACGGCTGTAATACGGATGTACAGAGATGACCGGGACCTATATGATTCCTTTCAGGATTCCAAACGAAACCAATGAGATTTGGTGTTCGTTATATACCAAATTTCGGGACGCCATCCAGTGTGGTGGGGGTTGGCTGCCTCCCATAATCCTTTCGGGGCTTCATACAACATCCAATATCACTTCCAAGCCTCTGCCCTGGAGGAAATCGGAGTAATGGAGTCATCAGTTCTGGAACTGCTATTCCGAGCACATTGTCTCTTGTCGTGACGGTGTCAGCGATGGTCAGAATAATGTGTTGAGGGGAATTTCTGCGGCCTGCAGCAAGGTATATTGTGAACTTTTAACCTTTGGCTGCCAGAAACCTCGTAATTTTCTATCCTCCTCCTTTCAGATGCACATTAATCCCAGGACGTAGCACACGGCTTCTTTCCCAACTGGCCTTCTATCTCAGCATAATGGATATAACAATGCGAATCCGGCGATCAGCGTACCAATGTCCACACCAATCAAACGCAGTTCTTTCTGGTTGGGACGGGCAACCTGTATATTGATCTCCTACAGCAATTGATGTACAATCTTTGTCACATGTTTCCACGTTGCTACCGCGCCGAATCGTATCCGGACTCGGTGCGTATCATATTCGTACTGGGATTCGTATATTTCTTTATTGCTTTCCTTACAGCGCCTTACAAATCCACCAAGCTGATGCCCAGAGTCACCCAGCAATATAAGAAATGTTGCCTCTGGTTTTGAAGCCACAAAATCCATCAACATTTTTTCCCTGACTTCCACAAATGAGGTGCTGTCCTACTTATCATATCTGAGGCCTAGTGAGCAAAATTTAAATGACTTCGGACCCACATAAACGGATATAAATAAGTTACATTTAAATTCGACATGCCAAGGATCTCTGGGATGTGTGTGCTAGCAGTAGATGCTTGTAGGAAATTCCCTGGACTTGTTAGCCTCTGCATCGATAGATGTCGGGTCCTGCCTTCAGGCCATTAACAATTCATTGTAGATTTTACCTTTGTTTTCTGTTCCTGACTTTTAACACAGGATATGAGTATTATATTACGTCAAGTTAGAAAATGCACTTTATGTTTTAGAGATAAACATTTTCATTTCGAAATTCCCTTAAAGGCAAATATTATTTTAAGCAATTTTCTTCGCACATCTAAATGCAATTTGTGCATGCTGTTTGCCTTGTAATTTCGTGAAATGCCTTTCGAGTTCCTGTGCCATGCCGGAGCACACGTGCCCCATCCAAGAGGCATAGCTGCGTTGACATGTCGCCCCTTGTAGAGGCAGGGAAGGAAGGACCCTCCAGACAGCAGAGGACGATGGCGTTCCCATGGAGACGGGCCTCAATGTCGCTTTCAAGTGGGAGCAGGGTTTTCTTTCCTTTTTGAATGTATTTCTTTGCCCTTTTTCCTTTATTCCTTTTACTTTTTATAGTCATATCAAAAACCCGAAAAATTAGAGAGGGTCTAGAGTGCTTTCCTGACTTAAGAATGCTCATGTCCTCACAGTCAAGAGTGTACAACAATATCGTTTTCAAAGCAATATAAATTATAAAAAATGAAAATAAAATAGAGTTAGAAGTATGCAAAGCGAAAAGGAAAAACAATTAAATGATTTTGTGCTGCTTTGATGGGATTTTAAAATAATTTTTGTTGTGCTTTTAGTTTTTGCTAATTTTTTTGGCAGGGTCTTCAATGTTTGTCTTCGGCTTTAGTAGGTGTTTGTACGTTTAGATATTTGAAGCTTGGAGAGGCATATAATCTTAAGTAGTAGATTAGAAGATTAGTTTAGAAGACTTTCAGTATCGACAAAAACTGCAGTGAAGAAGTGCCGCACATCTGTACTTAGTTTGGTCTTAGTTTGAATTACTTTATCTACACATCACCATTTACACCACCAATAAAAAATGCATGGTGAACCAGCAGCTTCCAAGGGATCAAATAGATCTTTCTTCTGAAAGAAATATGTTGGCCTAACGGAAAGCGCCTGCCGAAAAAGTCGACAAACCCAACATTTATTTACACAGTTTTCGAAAGTGCATCAAAATTTGAAAAGTAAACTTTTATTCGTATTTTTCTCAAGGACTTGGCTTAAAGTTTAGCTAAACTTTTCTGAGCTGCTGGACAGTTTTTTTTTTGGTTTTGGTTATATGCTGAGGAGACACAGACTTAGAAGATGCTCGGTGAACTTAGCTAAACAACTACACTAACAAGTGGGAAACGCATTAGGATTTTTGTGTGAAAGACACTGAGAAAAACCACAATAACAAGAGCAACTTTCAACTAAATCTTGGCACTGTCCCAAACCCGTAAACAAAAGAAATTGGGGAGACACCACAGGTTTAAACACAATCTACACACAATTTCTGGGGTACTTTTTTACTCAACATATCTATTATATAAAATAAATTATGATATGTACCTTGAGGGAATAGACTAACAGTTTTAAACTTAGTTAACACATTTTTTGTATAAAATAAAATAACCAGTCACTGTCTCGGTGAAATATTCTTCTTATATATGAAAAACATTTCTCCCCAACAATGTACAAAACTAAAACATCTTCAAGTGCTTGATTGGGTGAACGTACATTCTACAGGTTTTGATTATTCAGTAAAGAGGAATAGCATTCCAATAGCCAATAGAAGGGCATTCCCACAAAAATTTAATTGTAATAAGTGCAAAATATCTTTAAAATCTTGCTGAGGGCTTAAGGCATTCTTTCGCCATCCCCTAAAAGGTAAGCAGAGTTTACACGGTTACCCAGTAAACCTCATTTGCCTCCGCCATTATGCATGACGTCAGGCACTCACAGATAAAGTTTTCCGGCCTCAGGCTCAGAGCCTGGGAGGATGATGCTGCGGAATTACCAGGCATAAAAACACACCACAGAAATGCTCTCCTCCGGAAGTTTTCATTCCTTTTTTTAGCATCCGGTGCTGTCGATGCGTTTTGCCGCAACCCCCAAAGACAACTTCTTTATATGCTTCAGATGTGGGATTTATACCCTAACAAAGGGTTTTATGAGTTCGAGAAGATATTTTTAATGGATAGGAGTGTAGTTTTTCTTGATCAACATCAAAGTTCGAGTAGATATATGTACATACGTATGACAGTCTGCCTGTTTCTTAGCGGTATTAACCATGATCGAAACCTTTAAAACCCTCCGACAAATAGTCAGCATATTTTTGTACTTGAATCTTACGAAACATAACTCTGACAGGGTATCTATTGATTCGACTAACAAGCCCAATATTTTGTTTATGCTTCTGGTTGTTGCTTTTGCCAGTAGCAAAAGACTTCAAAAGTTGCCTTAATCTGCATGGGGTTATAATGAGTTCGTGGGTCTCTACGAGTATGTGTGCTGGGGCCTTTCATTTCTGCACTTTCTTGTTCCTTTTTTATGTCTTTGCCCGCTTTCAAGCAACATGTTTCTCCTAGTTACCACAGCTTCATCCTTCTCCCAATCTGTCTTTAGTTTGGGTTTATTTCAGGTCTTTTTTTCGTGTTCCCTGCTGACAGCTCCAAGAAGGATTTAAAAAAAAAAAACAAAATGAGCGAAACAATTGTTTTTGCATTTGCAACTTTTGTTGAATGTTGCCTGTTTTTTTGGAACAGGACTTTTCCAGTTGATATTTACTCTGCAAATAAAGTCCGCTTTATCTTGGGGGTTGAGGATTCACGGATTAATTGAAGTTTATGTTGGAGTTTTTCAGGACTTTTTGGTGGATAACTTTTTTTAAAATTTCATCCGCCTGTTGCATTTTGCAACATTCTGTTTGCTTGTGAGTTTTTGTATTTTTATTTAAATTATTTTATTAATTTATTTGTAAGAAAAAAACAAGAAAGTACAAATTTTTAAAAGGGACCGAGGCTGGAAATACACTTTACTGAGGGAAGAGCTGAATCTATGCATAAAATAGTTTTCAAATCTACTGAAATTACAAAAAATTCTTCTTTTGAGAATATAAAGTACATAAGAAATAAGCTTTAAAGAGACTGCAAAGAACTTAAGAGTGAAATATTTCCAAATTCCAAGATAGACGATTCAAAATCTTATAAATAAACATAGTTTAAATTAATTGAAATAATCAGGAGCTATTCAACTATTTCAACACTATTCGTTTAACTGTTAAGCTTGTAGGATTAGGATACTCGCATGCCTTTAATGCTCACAAGTACTCCTTTCCATCCATTACAGGACTTCTGCTCAAAATGACCCACTTGTAAGGGTATCAGAACTGTTTGCGGCACCGAGTGCCAGTGAAAAATGTGGAAAAATGCCATAAAATACGCAGAGCAGAAAAAGGGGTAAAAAGAATATTGAAAAATCCAAGCACACACCAACGGCAGAGGAGGAGAAAAGGACAAGTTTTTGACTTTTGCGAATATTACTTACCCTCTTCGCCGAGTTTTGTAGTTTGCTGCATATGCCGGCCAAAGTACTCGTCCTCCCCTTGGATGGCGCCAGGGCCGCTTTCATCGCCTGCATGTGCCGACAATGGCCGCCATCCGATCGAAGGCCGCCATATTGATGTGACCATTTTGTAAGCTGCACACACAAAATAAAGAGGAGGAAGAAGGACCGAATGAGTGAGTGGAAAGAAGGGTTTGAGTGAGGAGAGTATGTTTTGCTCGATGATAAAAAGTGATGGCAAAATGGTGCAGGACTTAATTGGTAAAGGGGTCATGGGTGGAGGAGGTTTTGAAAGGGAAAGAATATGGAGAGAGCTATGCAATTCATGCACCGAGGGCCCCGTTTAATTAGCGTATTGAAAGGCGATTCACGCTTCATTTCACTGTGAAACTCAATGCGATATTGGAAATAGCTGAATGATTGAGAAAAAGTTTATTTCTGTTTTTGTGCTAGGTATTCGTAAAGCTCATGGGTATATTGTATTAGTTTAGATGTTGGTCTCAAAAAGTGTAAGTCTCTGATGTCACAGATATCTATGAAGCAATGACTGATGGACTGTTCGTGACTGTTCTTCGTGGCCACGTGTTGTTCCTTGCGTCCAAGGAGACTAAAGATTGCGGCGAGACTGAGAGAAATACTTAATAATTACATTTTCAAATACTCTTTATGAAAACAATCGATTAAATTGTACAAACTCGAGTTTTTGGGTTGGCAAGAATATTATCTACTCTCCATACGATTTTTTCGTTAATATTATATTTAATACGCTTTTATGATTACGTGCCCTTGATTTTTTCTCGTGATCCGGATAAGTAATGATGTAGCATCAATCGAATTTGTTGGGTTCCAGGCAAATTCAGCTTACCGCTGCAAACAGTTCTCCCTTTCGCCCAATGCCAATTTAACAATATCCACAAGCACAGGAATAACAACCCAATCAGTGGGTTTGCCCAATTGCGCTCCCGTTAATGGTGTGGCAGGCGATGATGTTGGTGGCTGCTCCGCATTGCTGTTGCCAGCCGCAGGCACGGTCGCCGTTTCCGGTGCCGACAATGCATTCATACCGGAAGTGCCTGGTATGCCAACTGCTCGCCCACCCGCACTCGCACTTGTCGACGGTCTCTCGTCTAAGTCCATTGATGTGGTAGCTCCTCCTCCAGATGCTGTTGAGGCTCTCCTTGGCCTGCTTATCAGTCTTGAGACTTTGCGGTTGGCTCATTTAAGACGATTGCCTGTTTGTGCCACAAATGACCATGTCCTTCGGCATGTCGCTGCATGCAATCCAATTGTTGGCACGACACTTGCAATTTGCTCCAATGTAATCAAATCGAGATCCATAAATGAACATTATTTGAAGCTGTAATCTTGATAGGAGCTGACTCTGCCCTCCCCTGACTTTTCCCAGCATTTTATTTGCCTTATACTTATTTTTTTTTGTTTCCTTCTTGTTTTCTATTGTATGTTTCTGTGTTGTAAAAGTTTATGGTTTTGTTTTTTCTGTTTGTGTGATTTTTATGTCTGTAAAAGCTTTAGATCGAATTTTATGAGCGACATTTGGCCTCTCGTTGATAACATATTAATTAGGATTTCTTTTTTGGGGATTCGGGGATTTTTTAGCCATTAAATGGTGTGTGAGCCAAAGGAGAGGGAAATCGTAAAGGATTTCAGATATTTATTTGGAATTCATTGAAAGAAATACCTTCTATTGTACACCAAAGGGAGGACATACTCGTGAAGATGAAATCTTTTTTATTTTCTGATGATAATTTAAAATTTTAAAAATTTTTGCTCGGTGAAATACATTTGTATTTGTGGAAATAAAATTCCGGCGACGACGATGACGAACAAAAAATTATTTTATACATACATCTACCTCTCGAACACAATGCATCCAGACACGCCCATGGCCCAAACTATCCGTAGCTACCATTTTGCATATTTCTGTAAATTTGTGCGATTCCCTTGAATTTTTTATGAGGTTTTATGCATTTTTTCCCCCTGTTGCGCGTTTCACACTTTTCAGCGACCAGCATTGTCCGGGGCGATGTACAGGGCGTTGCACAATTAATGACCAACGGAATGCAACAACAATGAGGATTATAAATAAAATAAAGGACTCCAAATTACTATGGAAGGTGTGATGAAAAGGTTTGAAGCCAACAATGGAATTTTGCTTGGAGAGACTTCGGCATTCTGTCAGCTTCCAGATAACTCCAATATAATTTTCCTCTACAAAACTTACTAAAATTCAGAACTTTTATATCAGCTCCAATACCATAACAAAAAGATGTTCCCCATCAAATATGCAACTTGGTAATGAATAAAATATACGCCAAAGTCATTTAAATCAGCAAAAAGAACCCTTTAGTAATTTTTAAAGTGTTTTTTTGTTCGTCAAAATTTATAAATGGCAAAAAGAAGGCAAAAACCTAGTGTTAAAATATGCCGGGAACAACTGGAAAAGGCGGGAGGAAAAAAGTGTAGGGAAAAAACGTGGAATCTATTAACTAATTAAAAAGTTTTTTAATGAAAACTAGCTTCATTTGCCACTGAATGCACGGCAACACGCTGCGGTCTATTAAAGGAGGGCTTCAAAGATGGCAACCGGACGAAAGGTGCGGGCGATGTGCCAAATAAGTGATGAAATTGGGCCATCTGCAGCGAAACTGTGGTTACTTGGGCGTGGTCCTGCCCCTATTCGTTCTCCATTCTATTTTTTCGAGAAGTTAACCTTTGTGCAAACAAGAGTATGAAGAAGGACAAAAAACTTTCGTTGTTATGACAACGTGGCACAGAAAATGTGGCAGAGATGGAGGCCACAAATTTGCAATATATTTAATAAAGACGTCCCAAGTAAAAGTTTACTTTGAGAAACTAAAGCAATGGGTGTAAAAATCCAAGAAAAGTATGGCCATAAAAGTCTACGAAATCAATTGCATTGCGAACAAATACCATTAAGAGGAGTACGCCTTTAAATATTTAATTAGAAATCGACGGAACAAAATCCGAACATGGCACTAAATCTTTTAAGCTCCTTTACGCCAAAATGCATTCTAGGTATTGGGTTCAACCTCGAGGCGAAAGGCCTCAGGAAACAAATGCGCAAAATGGGACTAAAGGAAATCGAGGCGTTCTGCGGCTTGGGCCCAGCCAGCTTCCTTGAGAAGCACGGACATCGGAGGAAAACCGTAATGCACGCGAAAAGAATAACCCACAAACCGAGAAGGCACACCATCGAGTCCGAGGAGATTGAGGACGCCGAAGAGGAGGAGCAGTTTTTCGACTACGAGGACTATTTCGAATACTTCGGCGAGGAGGTATCCGTTGAATCGGAATTCTCCCTTGCCGTGGAATCCTCCAGCTCGGAAACAAAGCGTAAAACCCTCGTCTCCATATCGCCATCGAAGCATGGAACTGACTCCCAGTTCTCTATGAAGCGTACAACAGTTGCCTCCTCTCAATCCTCGAAAAGGTTGGGCACCATAAGGTCCCAATTGCTTTCGCCTAGTCGGTCAGATGCGGCACTTCGCTCTTCGAGGCACGACACCACGAGGACCCATTTTATAGACGTCGGCTCGCTCACATTCGGTGCCATCTTTGGCCTGGGCGAAAAGATGGAGCATCGCGTGATAATGGCCCGTACTGTGGTCCAGTGCCTGGTCCTGCCGCGCTTCTGGCTGCTGGAGGAGGAGCTGAATCCGGGTAATATCTGGCAGCGTCGTCGCTTCTACTTCGAGTGCAGTGTGCCCTCGCGGAAGAAAATAAGGGAGCAAAGAGGAAAAGCAAAGTTTCTCAAGGCAAAGGATTCTTTTGGCCTGCAATGTGGATAAGGCAGAATATGAATGGTTATGTCCTTGCTGAGGGAGGCATGATTTTGGATGGATGTTCGTAGTCTATAGAAGAAAATTCGAGGAGGTAGGCAAAAGTGTATACGAATTCTGGAATACCTTGCAGAGAACCAAGAGTGGCAGCAGCGCCACTTTAGATGCCTAAAGTCACCCCACCGCTCCAAGGTACGACTCCGCTCCTCGATGCGGAATGGTGATGTTCCCGCCGAGTTAGTTACACATAGACAATGGATGGTTAGAGTGAGAGAAAGCGAGCGAAGACACGCGGACATGGATGGACCCACGTGACTTGGCTAAAGTTTTAACGAGTCGCTTACACGGCCAACTGGCAAACTGTCAATGGGACAGTTACGGACGGCATAAGTTATAAGCCATCTTGCCTGGCTGCCTGCCTGGCTGGATGCCTGCCTCCCTATTTCCCATGCAAAGTCATATCAGTCCGAGGAACTGAACCTGGACACGTAGGGCTCTTCATATTCCACAAGCATGGAAATTTTAATTCAATCTACATTCATGCGCTACGTTTAACTTCAGTCCACGGCTACAGTCTGACCCGCTGTAGAGGCTACAGGGAACACTCGGGGGTAACAGAACAGGAAATAAAAGCCCACTCTATTCTGCAGGGTATTTTTAATATATAGAGAGTGGGATACGCTATATACTTGATTAATAATACTAAAATTATTATTAAGTCAGTTTAGGTAGAAACTTTAACTGAAGAACTGCTCTGTAAAGGTAGCATCTATTTGCCGTAGCCAACATACCGCCTATAAGTACAGGGTAGACAAATATTCAGTTTAAAAAAAAATATTAAAATGAGGTAGAAACTATAGTGGAGTGAAGCGGAGTGGAGTGGAGCGAAGCCCTATAAGGGGAGCATTGTTAATGAAGCTGCTTGTCGTCATTTTAATTGCATTTCCTTGTACGTGGGTATAAGTATAACTGTATATATGAGTGGTTGTGGGTTTGACTAAGTGTGTATGTGTGTTCTGCGTGTAATTTATGCACCAGTGCAGATTGTTCTTATGGTGAATGTTGATTTGTGCAGGGTAAAACGTTTACAATTAACAGAACATTTAAGTTCAAGAGTACGTGTAAAATTTTATGAAGAATATAGAATAGAATAGTATGCAGTTTTCTAGCTGAGTTCGACTATCAATAATGTGGCATTACCTCGAATCGGACAACATCCTCATTCAATTCTAGCTTACGTTGGTTAAACTTCATAGAAACATGATATCAATTTTGAATCAGCTATCAATCACCACAGAAACCTGGCATTTTTGCGAGTACTTACCTGTTTATCCAACAGAATCATGCTGCTGCACTGCAGAAACGAAGATCGGCCTTATGTCCCTCTAAATCAGTCCAGCGTTTTGGTAAGACACTTAGTGTTGGGGATAGAACGGCTTTTGCGATTGCTAATTGGAACATCTGCATGAAGGAGACCGATATCGAGCGACAACTGTTCGCGATCTCTCTCTTACTTTCGTTTCGCACTTGTCGTGAGAGATGGGGAAAAGCACGGAGAGAAAGAGATGAACCACGACCGCTGGTAACACATTTTCTCAAATTAATTTTTGCACTACTGTTTTTTATACCTCTATATGTGTCTCTCTCTCTCCCATCTCTCTCACCCAACACGAGCACATGATGAAATTGTTGTCCATTATTTAATTTCTAAGTCAATTCTATGCCGATACACGAGGCGTGAGGAGAAAGTGATAACTGCAAACTAAATTCAAGGGCAGGCGGCCGAAATGCTTATGAGCAGAGAGAGGCAGATCGAGAGCTTTAGAGCTATAGAGAGGCGAAAGAAATACGCGAGCGAAAGAAGCTCTAATGCAAGCGAGAGCGCAACAAATAGAGAGAGCGTTAGAGAAGGCAAAATAATGAAGAAAGCTTTAATGCAAGCGAGAGCGCAACAAATCGAGAGAGTGATAGAGCCATAGAGAGGCGTAAGAAAGACGCGATTGAAAAAAGCCCTAATGCAAGCGAGAGCGCAACAAATCGACAGAGCGATAGAGCTGTAAAGAGGCGTAAGAAAGACGCCAGTGAAAAAATCCCTAATGCAAGCGAGAGCGCGACAGATCGAGAGAGGCGAAAGAAAGAGTCGAGAGAACGGTTGCGTAGGCGGCTGCTGTGCGGGAGCATATGTACATATGCACATATATGTATGTAGATTACAATGGCAGAGTGGGCAGTGCAAACAACAAACAATATGGATTTACTTAACTGCTGCACCGCTGGCTATCATCTATGGATTATTAGCTAGTATTGGGCTATGTACACACCCGAACCAAGATGCATGCTGGCCAGCTGGGACTCGAAGGAAACTCGGAGCTGGATGCTCGGCCATATGCTTGTGTAGATAATGATGCTGGAGCTTCGTCTGGTTCATCAGAGTAGTATATGATATAGTTAAATGTGGTATAAACAACAATATTTAATTGTACTTTTCTTTTATTATACTATTATTATCTCTGGCAATAAATGTGAACGTCAGCCGAGCCGACAACGGACACGCAATCGAGCGGCCCAGGAGCATGTTAATGTTGATGTGGATGGTGTCTACACTATATACAATGCGTGTGTTCTTTGTGGCAATGGACAGGATGAAGGGGCACGAGGCACGTGCCCACGAGCTGGGGCGCCACTAATTCAAATCTTCCTCTCGTAGGGAAGACCAGAGGCTGCTGCCGGCGCTGAGACCGGAGCGAGCAGAGGGCCCACTGGCAGCTGCCGCGACTGTTCCTGCTGCAGATACTGTTTACCCTGCTCGGCCCCATGACCATGAGCATGGCCGTGATCGTGGTGCTCGTACTCGTCGTTCTCCTCTGGGTGGTTGCGGATCCACTCCAGCGACTTGAGAATGGCCTCCGGGATGGGTGGTGGCGTGGGCAGGTGCTCGCCCTGAGGCTGGAAGCCATTCTCGTCGGCCGTGTAGGTCAGCTGGATGAGCTGGCCCTCGGGGCTGTAGTACTGCGACGAGCCGGAGGCGTAGTAGCCGCCCACTCCCTGCTCCTGTTGGGCAATGCCGTTGGTCGTCTCGAACTGGTAGTTGTAGCTGCCGTCCTCCTGCTTCATCTCGTTGACGAAGCTGCGGATCTCGGCGTGGGCATCGGCTGAGTCCGAGGGAAGCGCCAGCACTCGCACTCCGGCCATCAGGACGGAAGCGGCAGCTACAAGAACAACAACGTGCTGCAAGAGGAGAATGATGAGGGGTAAGGTGTACGCCGGGCATAGGATGGCCTCTTGACTTACGATCTTCGACATTTTCGCCAGGCTTAGGTTGAGATGGGGTTTATGGGGTTTTGCTGTTTTAGCCCTAAGAGCTAAGCTGTGTTTGATGCCTCGGTGCCCTCGAACTGCCGCTTATATAGCATGGAAATGTAAAATCTGATTTGATCTGCAACGAAAGTGAGGAAAGTGAGTGCACAGATGATATAATGATGATGATAATGGGGGGTTCCATCAACACATTTGTTCACATTTGGAGTTCGTAGCCGAGAGCCAGCAATGGCTGCAACGCCAATTATCTCGGCTCGGATCGCTATAGGTGGCTGGGCAGCCAGATATCATTTCCATTAATGCCTCGCTGAGCTAAAACGAATCTCTGACCTGTCCGGAGCGGATAACCTGTCCGCTGGCCCACTGCGGATCAAGAAACTCTTTCGACGGCTCGCCGCTGCCGGCACTTGAGTAATTAAGTGTTTGAGTTAATTCATTAATTATCTATGATTAAATACGCTATGCCACGATGAGCCACTCTCTTCGCATTTACGAAATTTGTAATGTGCTCGGAGGTTACCATACATTTATTATGCTACAGAGCGTGGCACAATAGACAAAGATCGACATAAGTTTCCGCAATAATGAGAGATGGACTCGAATGGGTGGGTGCGACAGGCGTGAAATGTCTAATGGAATATCTACCCTCAAGCAAATTGCTGCCAAATTCCAACCGACTGAAGAGAAATGCTAATTGATGGGGGTTCGGCGTCTCGAGCGCAGCTTAAACAGGAATGCCCACAGACAAATCACGTTTCAATTTGGCCTCTTGAATATGTACAATGTATACAGGTCACGGGTACACCTCTCATGATGTGTGTCCAAAAATTTCAAATATTCAAATCTAAGAAAATCGATTTAAGAAGCATCCACAATTGCTTTCGAGTTGCTCTTGGGGGGCAGGAGCTTTCCGGAACACCATCGAATGCCATAAATGAAAAATGATTGGGAACTCGGAGTCCACTGTGGTAATCACTCACCTCGATTTGCTAAAACCCCATTTCCAGGTCATATGCACTCAGCTGCTACGCGCTGTGTCGCCCCATGTATCCATAGGAAGAGCTGTCTCCGCTGTCAGATTTCCTGCATCCAGAGATGGCTCGTTCTCCAGGCAGCAGTCGTCGCAATCAGAGCTCCTGTTGCTGCTGGAGTGGCGGCAGTGAAGCACGGACTGCTTGCAACACATGCCCCAGGTGCCCCAGGTAAAAGGACATCGCCATGTGTCACGTTCGGGCGGCCGCTCCTAGCGCTGTGGCTCCTCCCCTTGTTTAATGCATGGCACGGATCGGGCAGGTGGAAAGTTATCCTCCCTCATGGCTGGGTGTGTGTGTCTTGCAATCAAACGTCAATTTCATGTAGGATTAGACGTTAGCCAAGCGACTCTCGTATTCCGTTTTAATCCTTTGGGGTAGGCTTAGTTGCCTCTTCATTCCATATATCGTTTTTGAATTTTCCAATTTCCACACCGGGCAGCTTAGTTCTTGGGTTTTCCCCACTTCCTACAGCAGAGAAAAAGGACTATTAAAAATAGAGTCGGGGAAATACTATGGGCCACGTGCCGTCAATAAGTCAACTTTGCGGTCAATCACAACACATTACTCATACGCCTCATACGACCTAAAATCACTGGCCTCCTCATACAACTGCCTCAGTGTCGGTGTGTTTATGTGTGTGGGGCTTATGGCCAGGGTTATTATCCCTTTGGGCCCACTTGCCACTCACCAGCCCATAGCATGTGCGCATCAGCAACAAGGAAGGAAGAGGACGGTTGCCTATTGCTTGGGTCGATGGAAATCATCAAATCACTGCAGACGCGTTAAGGCCCAAACATATCTGATAGACTACGATCAATAATGATGTATAGATTGATGCAAGGTTATCCATGCATAAGCATTTTTGGTCTGGATTTCTTCTTGAATGGACTGAAAGAGGCAAATGGACTCTTTATACTTTATTCTTGTGGCCTTTAAAGATGAACTCTGAACTTAATCCAGAAAAAATGTAAAAGGTAATCATTTCTTTTGTTTAATTTTTTTCTTTGTATTTTTTTCTCTTGTTTTATTCATGGCATCAAATGAATAAAGTAAGCCTTCCCAGAACAAAGAAATCCAGCTTTATTCCAGACAAAAGCGAATTAAAAATCGGCATTAAGAATACGGGTATCAACGGGCTGTGCCGGAGAAACTGTTTCCCGTATTATGAGGGGATTTCCACGTGCGTGGAAATTTCGAAGGAAATACAGAAATAAGAAAAGTGTGTCAGCAGGCTTTGAAGGAGATTTACCACGCACAAAAGACAGCGACAACTCGGTAGAGTTCAGCTTCATATGTATGAAATATCCATTAAATAATAAATATATGCAGATACATGAAAAGCATGAGGCAGCGTCTGAAGTACGGACATGGATGCTGCTTAAAAGGAGCACTCCCGCACCTGAGTGTCATCTGTTTATGGAAACAAGCAAGAAAATCCAGCTTCTGTTAACCTAATTCCGGCTCGTCATCATCTTTGAGTCTTGTCTTTTGTCAGCCAAAGTTCAACAGTTGCTGTGCCCCCTTCCTTTCCCATCCGAAGTGGCAGCAATTGATGGCAATGCCAGAAGCAGAAATCGATCCAAAATCAATGCCATGTCTGGTACATGGGTTTTCTTCAATGCTCTTGTGATCTGCTTAAGATTCATTCTCTTTGACAGCTTCAGCTTCATTCCAACTTTATCAAAAATTGCCAATTAAGGAGATGTTGATGAGAGTCTCCTCACTTTTTGGGTACCTACTATTTTTATGTGAATTTCTTAGTATTTTTTTGTTACAGAAGCCATGCATAATAAATCATTTAGTGTAAATGATTGATCAAAAACTCGGAGAGAAATCTTTTGGCTGTCCATCTATGTGGAATAAATTTACCAATTTTAGAAATCCTCAAAGTTGGGCCTGCCACGACCACATCTCTCTGAACCTCCCCACATTGTTGGATATCCAGGGCTATAGACAAAGAACAAAACGAAATAAATCTTTCTTCCTTATTTTTTTTTTTTGTCCAAAAAGCTTATTTAATTCCACTCATGACGACAGACTGCAGGCTCAAATCTAGGCCAGTAAAATATTTAAAATTTTAATATTGACAACGCTGTACAGTTGTCTGTAACTTTTTACGGGTGATATTGATTGCCCTAGGAGAAGGTCGGGGGACAGTGACTCAGAAGAAGATAAATCTATAGTAGACCGAGAGGCAGGGAAATATCAATATGGCTGACACATTTTATTCCACTTGAATGCCCATTGCTGATGCCCTTGTCTACAAGGGCTTGTCCTATGTACTCCGAAAAAAACGCCCTTAACTATATTGAAAATTATAAAGTCATTCAAAAAAGGTCGAGGCCGTGAAAGCCTTAGTACGCATATTGTAAATGATTATTAAATGAAGTAAAATTTCTAGGAAAATGGAATGTTTAACCAGCCGCAACGACTTAAAAGAACATTTAATTTTCTCAGATTTATATTTTCCATAATTTGTGCTTCGTTTACTCTGTGGCATGACCGCAAAAATATCTGGTTGCTGCACTGGTTGGTCCTTTCATAGGTATCGCTCCCCCAACCACCGTAAAATTCCTTTATTAAAATTATTCGAGGAGAATGCATCTGCAGACGACAGCCTGCTGTTTTTAATTGGTCTCTGTCCAGGAGCCATGGAATGCTGTTGAGTAAATGGAATTTTAACCACAGCACACTGAATCGTCTTCAATAATTTGAAATATTTGCAGCTTGATTGTGAAACTCTCGAATGCTTTGCATATTTTAAGACCAATCTGAACTTTGGCTACATTCCAAACAAGTCCCGGTCGACAGTGGGTTGGGTACAAGGAGCAGCTGCTGCTAGTGTCCTCAAATCTATTAGCATAAAGCTGATAAAAACTGAAGTCGTTGTCCTTGTCGTTGTCGCTGCTGTCAACAAGCAACGGCAACAGTGGCAACAATGGGAGCTGGGGTAGTGGCAGAAGTGGCAACAATTTAGCCAACAAACAGACAAGAAAAATCAGCGTGCAGCAAAGTGGCTACAAATTTCCACTGTTGTTAGATAACGGGTTTTCCTAGATAAGGGGAACATTCTTTAACATTCTAGCATTCAATTGATTAAAGCTTAAATAATATTTGCTTTGCCTGAAATAATGCCTACCTTTGATATATTTTTTGATTTGTAATTTTTATGCTCCCCCTTTTTCGATAATTAAAGTTTTCCTTAATGAATCAAGTACTACATCTTATTAAATTTATTTTCATTTAAAATTTCTACTCCTCCACCTTTCTTGGAATGTTTTTCCCCATTTTCCATTTGTATCTCATTTGATCGGCTTGCAGTTTATTTGCTTTCACTTTGCTCGCATTTGTGTTTTCTGCAGCTGTTTTCCCCTCTTTTCCCCCATCGGATTTAAAATCAATTATATTTCTGCTTTTTATTCTACTCTGCAGTTATTTATTGGCGTGGTTTTTCCACTATCCAAGGATATTTGCAACAAAGTCATTGATTTTTCATATTTATCACTTTTTTGCATTTGGCTGACGGTCGTAACTTTTATCCAGTAAATGCCTTGTCGGATATTTATATATTTACTTGTATAAATTGATTTATTTGGGTATTATTCGACAACGGGATTATTTGATGATGAGAGTCGTTAAGAGATGTGAAAAAATGTGCCTGAAGAGAAAATGCAAAAAACTGTTATTTTTTGTGACGTCGAGAGATAGTACATCGGAATTAAAATGTTCAGGATATTCGTTGTGAGTAATAAATTAATGTTGTATTCGAGTATTCATTGCATTTATTTTATAAAGAACACCAGTCTTCATTGGTAAACGAATGTATGTACACTCCCCGACACTTGAATACGACATACTAAAATGTACACTTTAGGCGCCAATATTTCCGGCACAAGCCATAGAAAACGGTGAATTTGAATTTTCCTCAAATCTCTATTCAATTTAGCATAAATTAAAAAAATAATAATAGCAATATTCATCAAAGTAGATTGAGAAAAAAAATTTAATTGACATAACTCAAAATTTCCGCTCCCAAAAAATGCGACACTTGAATACGACATTCGCATTGAAAAATTTTTT